ATCTTTCAGTGCAAACCTTTCACACCAGATTTGAACAGCCCTCACCCAATTTATTTAATCTATTTTGTGTGTGTGACAGGAAAACTCATTTCAGCTGGAAATTCTCAGTGAAGGAGATGCTTCAGCTGGGGAAAATCACTGAAATACAAACTTCAGTAAAACTGGAGATGAGTTTGCACATTTGGGGTTCTTTCAATAGCTGCCTTCACTCAGCATTTTCACTGGGGTGAGGGTGAGACTTTAAAGTATCTTTGCATTCAGGTTTCAGTCACTTAAAATGACTCTTTGAAATCACCAGAGGGAGTTCAAAGCTCAGTGTAAGTTGTGAAATTCACTTTCCTGCCACACTGGAGAAATGAATGGGCTCTGTCCATATTTTTTCTCTTTTGGTGTGGGCCTTGTGGAATGACTTGGGGAAGAGTTGTGCTCTGGTTTTCATGCCTGTAGATGAGTGCAGAACTGCCAGTGTAGCTCTGAGGACAGAGCTGTGGCGTTTCTCACCCGCTTTTGTCCACAAAAATATCCTCCCTTTTTTCCCCTTATCCACTGAGTAAACAACAAACTCCAAACTTGATTTCTTCTCAAGGAAGGTTTCTATTTTTGTAAGGTTTTGTTTTGTGTAGTTTGCTGAAACTGCTTTTCTCATGAAAAGACAAAGTGGCACTGGAAAACTTTAGGAGGGAATTAATTGCTAATTAATAACTGGTGCAGAAAGGCTTCTCCTGGTGTTAGCTGCACAAATATCATCATATGGAATCAACATTTTACAAAAACTGTTTCAGAAGTCCAGAGAATGGCTCTGTGTTATTGTACATGCAGTGCCTGTAGACATAATTGAGAACTCCTTTAATTTTTATACAATTCTAAATGTACTTTAGGTATCACTAGTCCTTAACTTTGGATCAGAAGTAATCAGGAAATTTTAATTCCTATGTATATATACATCTTATTGCTCCTCTGAGGATCTTTGTGAGCACTTATATAAATTATGCTATAATTTAATAAGCACTCATATAAAGTTATTGATGGGAGCACTAAGGTTTGCTAATGGATCAAATCCTAATGATCAAAATGAAGTTGACATTTAATGGTACACACTGGGACCTTCCCTGAGATGTCTTAAGTGTGTCTGAAAAGTTCAGAGTGGGAAATGCCATCTCACTGGCTTGGAGTCAACCAGTCTTTTGGAAAACAGAACTGGAAGTGAGAATGCCAAATATATCTGTAAAGCAACTTTTATTAATATGGATTAAACCTCCTGTAGGGGAAATGTCCCTATTATTAAGACCTAGAACTGATGTGAAAGGGGGTTTGGAAGTAGATGGTCTTTAAGGTCCCAAACCAGTCCATTCTGTGATTTGATGAGAATTTCCTTCACAGTCATACTCAGTGTGTGTGTCTTTCTCCTTTCTCCAGTATGAAGTGGAACAGAACAGAATTTACCACCTGAAACTGCTGCTTCAAGTTCAGATCAGGAAAAAGAATCTAAGTATACCACATTGTAACAACTCAAGACCAAAGAAGAGGCAACTTACACTGAAGAAGATACAAGGCTTGATCTGAAACAAGAAGTTTGTGCCTACTCAACAGCTTCAAAAGAGCACGTCCCGACGCTGCTATAGTAGTCTTTGTTTTCTCCAGTGCTGTAGTGAAACTGCCCAGGGCAGCAGCACTTGTATTCTCTAGAGCTTGATAGATCACCTTCTTTTGCTATCTTTTTCTTTCTCTTTTTGTCTCTCTTCCTTTTGTTCCCTTTTTTAAAAGAATAGCAGTCTTCATCCTTAGAAACTTGTGCTGAAACAGAGGAATCGGCAAATACTACTGAAAGTGCAATATTTGAATATCACTGCGAGGTTGGTGCACATGCTGGGGAAAGAGTTATAGCTGTGGTTTTGAGCTTGGTTCTTACTAAGTTTTTAACAGAAGGGGGTGGTGTTGATGAGGGTTTTTTTAATATTTCTTGATAATAAATATTTAATAGTGGAGCCCTGGCACAGAGCAGCTGGGGCTGCCCCATCCTGGGAAGTGCCAAAGGCCAGGCTGGGCAGGGCTTGGGGCAAGCTGGGATGGTGGAAGGTCCCTGCCCATGCCAGGGGGTGAAACAGGATGATATTTAAGGCCCCTTCCCACCCAAACCATTCATTGGTTCCATGACTCTTTGCTGTTACATTCATTTATTTTGGTGAATCCATAGTAGCTGCAGTGTGGTTCTATGTAACAATACTTATAACTCTGAGAGCTGATTATTGGTGTTTCTCTCTTCTAGTAACAGTAGGTTTGTGGTTCCATCCCATTTCTCAAATAACTTCTCTTTGGTATCTTAATCTTACAGCACAGTTGTTTTTTTTTCTTTCTCTAAATATTTCTTTTGATGGGGTTAATAGTTCATATTCCTGTTATAAGATGTAGGAATTTGACAATTATCTGGAAAAGCTGATACTTTATAATAGTATCTTTGTACAGGAGGTTTCAGTGCCACCTGAGGAATCTTTGTTTGAACTGAAGTTGTCAGGCTTTAGAGGATTGAGGAGTTCTTTGTGCTGTGCTCCTTTAAACTCAGACAGTTCAAATGATCTCATGCAGGGGTAGCCTGAGCAGGAGGTGAAGCACTGTGGCTTTCTAACCCTAACAGAGGCTATTCTGAGCCAAGTTTTAATCCAGATTTTTGCCATTTTCTCTCTCTGATGTAACTTTAGCTCATGTTTGAGGCAGGGTGTCTGCTTGCTGCTTCCCTTGTATCAGAGGTGAGGTGGCCATTTGGTGACTCACAGGAGCCTTTGGCTCATTCCAGCTTCCAGAATGGGTTAAATGCTCTGGCCTGTAATTCTCCTGGCAGAAGGTATAATAACATATCATTTTCTCTTCTTCCAGCCACCCTACTTGCAGGACCAGTTTATTTTTGAAAAGTATTTCAGACTCTAGGATAGCCTAAAACACTTGAGCTGTTTTGTTCCCACAAGGACATTTTCTGCTGTGGAGTGTCCTGGGGTTGCCTTCCTCAAAAGATGAGGATTATTATCATGGCATGATGCTGACAGGAACTAGTCAGTAAATCTTAACAGATTTATTAAGTGTTTTTTGTTAAATACTCAGAGAAAATGTCCTTTAAACATAATCTAGTGCATAAAAGAGATTTCATGCTGTGGTTTTTGTCATTTGAGCAGCTTAGGCTGGACAGGAGGGGAGGGAAATCTTTGCTGAGGTAACAGTGACCCCAGAAAGGTGGAACCTCTGTCCTTGGAGGTCCCCAGGACTCAGCTGGACAAAGCCATGGCTGCCTCTGTTGGCAGGAGGCCTTTGAGGAGGGATGGGCTGGAGCTCTCTGTGTGTCTCTAATTTTCTGATTCATTATTTTCTGACATAGCACTATTTCATGACTTGAACATGGTCAGGGTATTGATTTATGCCACTTATTGCAGGTTGGACAGGTAAGAATAAGAGTTCAGAATTGATTGAAATTAAGAGGTTGTTACTGGTTTTTAAGGGACAGAGAAGTGAGATGTAGAGCAAGGAAATAAGCAGTGTGTGTTACAGAAATGATATCACAGCAGATTGAGCAGTTCAGGGAATTCTTAGAGAGCCTTGGGTGGTAACTGTGGTGTGGAAGTGCTGTGGGATGGGCACCATTACACACTGTCCTGGCATCCTTTGCCCCCTCAGATCACTCCCCCACCTTCTGTTATTTGTGTTTTTCTTCATTTACATCTGCCCCATGTGGGTCTGAAGCAGACCTCCTCCTCTTGGAGGTCAAAATACTGCCAATCTTTACTTTGTGTTCTTGTTTCCAATTTTATTTTTTTTTAATGTCAGTCTCCAAGCCCAAAAATTTCTCCCCAAGAACTTCACAGCAGGTTTTTTTTTGGTGCTCTTTGATCACCTTTAAACTGATTTCCAAACAGCAGAATAAGAATGCTGTGCCTTGTAATGCATTGAATAACTCATTGGCTGTGTTAGGGTGAGAAACAAGACCCTTTTACAAGTTGCTCAGGTGTCTTTTATCTCCACTAAACACATTGCTGAGTAATTTTTAAGCTCTCTGCTTGTTGCAGCAGGAAAGCAGAAAACTGATATGATCTCATTCTGTTTCCAAATTAAAACCTCTGGAAACTAATAAATAATCCTGTATATTTTGAGATGTTTGGAGGGAAGAGGGTTGCTTCAGTTGGCTCTCTTGAATTGCAGTGTTCAGTGAGGTATAATACATTTCACTGATTTAATTGCTAGCCTGAAGTCCAAGTGCTCTGCTTTAAAAAGGAGACTTGTACATCAAAAAAGCCAATGAGTTGGTAAAGGGGTTGGGAATATTTCAAGGGTGAATCTGTGACTTGAAAAGAAAAAATGCCCCATAAAATATGTCATTTAATTTAGGAGTTCATTACATCTTTAGTGCTATTTTCAAATTTTCTGTGTCTTTCTAGCACTTGAGCTTCTGTGCCACAGGAATGTTAAATTCTGGTTATTAATTCCATAACTGTGCAAAACTGTTTAATTACTTAAAAGCATTTTTTAGTATGAAAGGCTGAACACATGAACTAGGGAGAAACTATGCAGGGATTTGAACCTAATTGTGTTGATTCAGAACTGTTGCATTTTCCTAATCACCTGTTTAATTTGGAAGAGCAGATACTTCAGATGTTTTCAGGCTCTGGTGTGAAACACTGAATGTGGGAGTACTTTGAGGTGTAATACTTGAAAAATTCCAGAAGTCTGTTTTGTTCTAAGCAAGCTTTGTTTTGGTGTTACAGTTCTGGCTTGTTTTATAAATATGTTGCCTATATAAATTTTAAGGATTACTGTGTTAAAAAAGCTCAACTCTTTTGGTGGTTTTAAAACACATTTTAGGAACATTCTTAAAACACATTTTAGGAAGGTGTCAGTAACTACACAAGCTCTTACTGTGTTGTGGGGATGTTTTTGAAAGACAGGTGTTTGCGAAGGAAGGCAGGAAAATGTAAACCCTCCCCACCCCTCCCAATTGCTATAAATTTGAAATTNGGCAGCGGTCCCGCAGCCGGTACCCAGCGAGCGCCTCGGGGCTCCCGCTGTGGCCCTGCCTGATGCGCTGTGCTCTGCAGAGCTGTGGGTCTCACTGGAGGAGCACCAGGATGCGCTGGAGCTCATCATGAGCAAGTACAGGAAGCAGATGTTACAGCTGCTGGAAGGGAGGAAACGGGAAGATGCAGAACCAGTCCTGAAAGTCCATCAGGCTAATTCTGGGGTAAGGTGAGATGGGGACAGGAGAGTGCTCACGACCCCTGTCCCCTGCTCGCTGTCATGCAATCTTTGTTTCCATTCCTGCAATGCCTGAGCTCCAAAATACATTTTCTCCCAATCTTGACTCTCTTTACTGGTACTTTCTCCTCTGTTCCTTTCAGAGCACACAGGTTGTAACAGCTTTCCCAGAGAACACTGAAAGGCACAACCCAAGTGGAGCCTTTTTCTTTCAACCAGGTGCTGAATTCCCTGGCTTAAGCTTAATATGCCTGATCCTCTGTAGTAAAATCAAGGATGTCCAAGTTGTTATAATTCTTGTTCAGTAGCTGTAACAAAGGGGAAAAACCCTCCTAAACTCTGTGAGCTGTGTATGTTTAGTTCTTAAGAGATTTCACTCCCTAGTGTTTTTAGATCCAGATACTGTGTGGAGTGGCCTGAAGTGTCCCTTTGTACACACTGGGTTCAGTTTTGTACAAAACTCTGAGATGTGGCTGCTGATAACTGCTGCCTGTTTCATATTTAGGTATTGAGTAACAATAGAATAACATTAAATTTCCATTTAAAACTTAGGAATTGTGTTAGGCATTTTTTGAAATGCATTTTTATCTGGTTAGAGAACAGCAGGTTGGTTCAACCCAGTGACATTTCATATCTTGTATCTTTTTTATTGGAGCTGGAGCCAGGCCAACTCTTGTCATGTGTTTCTGTGCACTGATATGTGGCAATTCACTGCTTCTCTTTTCTCAGTTGCTTAACTCCTCTGAAGGTGTAGCTATGTTTGCTTTCCAGTGCCTTCCTGAGTGCATTAATTGCTGTTTATCAGGGTTTTACATTTGAACAAAACTTGACAATGCAAAGCTGAAAGGGCTGTGCAGGAACCCTTGAAGGGATATCCCTTGATTATCTCAATTTCTAGGCAAAGTCTTCTGTACTTCAGGTGAAGTCCTTGATTTTTTTTCCCACCATTTGGAGAACAGTAACAAACTGCTAATGTCTTTAAAATAACTATTCTTAGTATAACCATCTTCCTGTTTAGAAAAATAATCGTTTAGAAAAATAATAATCTTTCTTCCCAGAAGTCTTTCATGTTCTCCAGCTGTCTTCTGGATGCTCCAATTTGTTTACATACTTTCTGAATAATGGAGTTCAAAAGTGAATTCTCTGCTCTGTGATAAATTTATCTTCCAGAGGCAGTAGAAAAACTATGGGCACTTAAAGAAACTCCACCCTGTCACCTGTCATGTCAAGTGATGTATTGCTCTTCAAGCAGGAACTGTTGCTTCATACTGGAAATTGTCAGTGTTTGTTCCATGTGCATTTCTGAGCTGCAGCAAAATGCATTTTCAAGAGGATTATTGCTGTATCTAGGCAGATTCTGTAAAATCTGCCTCTGGAGGCTCTGGTCTTACTTGCTTTAGTTTTGTTGCTGGATGTCCTTCTGAGTTAAAGTTGTTTACTCCACACTTGAAATCATCTTTGCATTTATTTTTGGTGTCTTAATAAATTCAGTCAGGCTTTTCTAATAAAGCAAAATAAAATTTGCTGCCTACTAATCATGTTCACATGAACCTGAATCTGCTGTCTCAGACCTTGGCACACTTGAAATTATTTCCCTTTAGATCAGAGTGCCTTATCTTGTTGGCTGCTGTCTCTCTCTTCACTGTTTTCACTGATAAAGGACTGCTGATAAAGGAAAATGAGGTACAAGTTCTTATCCTTAAGTATACAAGGCAAAAAGGCTTTCAAGTGCTTGGGAGAAAATGATTAAAATTCAAAACAGAATCCAAAATCAGGAAAATGGAAGTAAGTGATTTAGAAGGAATAAATTATGACTTTCTTTTGCCTGAACTTACTGAATGTATTAATTTTATGTCTTTCAGGAAATTGAAAGTCAAATAGACAGAATATGTGAGATGGGAGAGGTGATGAGAAAAGCTGTTCAAGTGGATGATGAGCAGTTCTTTAAAGTTCAGGAGAAGCTGGCTCAGTTGGAGGTAAGAACAGAGCCAGGTGCTGAAGATAAATCGAGCTTTGAGGGTCTCCAGACTTCCTCTGTATTTTCTATGTTTGTGTCAAGGACTTAAAACACTAAAAATTTTGGGATGAGGGTCAGGAAATGCAGAACATAATTGTTTATTTTCAAGTTTTTAATGTTCATATTATTTTTATATATCTGTATATAAATAAATAAGGGCAGAAGAAGATAAGGTTTAAATTATGTGGTTCCAGTACTAAAATTATGTGGTTCTACTGTCTTAATGTTGGCATTACAAACTTTATGTATCTGTGAAGGAGTGGGACTGTTTAAAGATCAGCATCTTTTAACTACAAATTAGCACCTTTCTGTGATAGTTGTGAATTAGTTCATTTCTATTTCAGCAAAATTGTTGATTTTGCAGCTTGAAAACAAAGAGCTGCGTGAGCTGCTGTTGATCAGCAAGGAGTCCTTCGAGGTGGGGAGAGAAGATCTGCCAGACTGAAGCCCAGGCCACACCAACCTCATGTCCAAAGCCTTCAGGAACTGTTTTGAAACTACCTGACAAGGATTTGTTGTTCCAGGTGTTTCCTTGTATATTTGTTTTATCTATAAAGCGTGTGGGCTGTGTTCTCTGCATTTTTCTGAAGTGTTGATGGCAAAAGCTTGCACCCTGCTCTTAGTACCTGCAGCACTTGGATGCTTAACACTGAAGTATTTGATGTGTCCTCCCTTGTGATGGCTCATTTCCTCTCCCTTTGTTATTTTTTATGAGCTTTAGTTAATAATTCCAGCTGTGCAGATGGCTCTTAAATCCACCTTGTCTGTAGCTAGAGAACATAATGCAGGTTGTGATTGTTGTGCTTGATAGAAGGAACAGGAGATGATTGAGGAACCACAGTGTGAGAGGCAGGGATGTGGTTTGCTCTGGCTGGGCTCTGCAGGGTGAGGGACCCTCAGTGTCTGAATGGCCTGGCTTTGTCACCTGGCCTGGCTTTGTCACCTGGCCACTGCTGAGAGCACAGCAGATGCCAGCAGAGCACCTGAAGGAGTCACTCCTATTCAGAGCAGACTTTACCTTGTTTTAGGGGTGAAGATTGGAGTTCACATCCCTTCCTGACACACACATTTTTTGAAGGATTAATCATTTTTGATAGCTAGACCTGTCCCAGCCTTCCCAGTGCTCCCAGTTAGCAGCCAGCCCTGCTCAGAGCCTGCCAGAGCACAGCACCTGCAGATCAAAGCTCTTTGACCTCCCAAAAGTGTGGGTTCAGGCAGAGGGAGCTCAGGTCTGCCTCAAACCCAAACCAAATCCAAACCAAACCACCCTCATGCACAGAATTTTAATGTCACATCACAGGTGAGTCTGGTGTTCCATTGTTACTGCAGGTCCTGTGTTGAGTGGAATTAGAGGTGCAGTGTTGTGGGAGTTTCTCAGTACTGTGGTATTTTTAATGACATTTTTATATAAAAGATTTCTGGCCTACCTGTGATTGAAAAATAATCTTGCAAGAATGGTAAACATCTCCTGTGCATTATTAGCTCAAATTTTTGATGGCATTTTTTCCCCAAGTGAGACTTTTGATAGATGCAGAAGGTGACTCGTTCCTGTGCTTACTGAGGTTCAGTGAACACTGGAGACATTGTGAACATTTGGAATATCCAACTAGACAGGTAGATATAAGGGGTTTCTGTACAGGAGTGCTCTTGTATACAGTCCTTTTCTATTCGAAATTGTTCAGGAGGGAATAAAAAACCCAATGGGAAATACTTGCTCAAGTGTTTTGTGAGTCCTGGGGGAATTCCATGTATTCTGCATATTCCCAAGCCTTTTGCACCTGAGTGAAATACTGCAATGACTGAAACATTGAATTTTCTGGTTTTTAAATTAATATCATCCAGGATGCTTGTGATGCATTTTTATCTTCCCTCTCTCAGTGTCAAGTAACATCCCTCCAGCTGGGTCCTAGAAAAAAATCAGAACTAAATAGCAGTTGCTTTGATTGAGTTTATTGTTAATTAGTAGCAAGCAAAAATAGGTGAGGGAAGTTCAAATACGTTCACAGAACATCCCGTGTTGGAAGGGACCCACAGAGATGGACTCCAACCCCCTACCCTGCACAGACACCCCAACAATCCCACCCTGTGCATCTTTGGGACAACGTTCAAACTCTCCTGGGAGCTCTGGCAGCCTCGGGGCTGTGCCCATTCCCTGGGGAGCCTGGGCAGTGCCAGCACCCTCTGGGGAAGAACCTTTCCCTGGTATCCACCCTAAACACCCCTGCCACAGCTAGCTCAATGTTCCATTTGTTCCTGTCCCATTTGGGATCTCTAACTGGAATCTGTGACTGGCAGTTGTACACAGTTCCTGAGGGCTGCTGGGCATTTTCAGAACTTGCTCCACTTGTGTTGGAAACTGGACTGGAGCTTCAGGACTGGAAATGCTCTGCTTTGTCCTCAAAGCGTCTCCCACTGATCCTCCGGTTCTTCAGCGAGCACAAGGCTCATGTCCCCCTCAGGCTCTGCCTGCCCTGCACTGAGGCGTCCCTCCAAAGGGAGTTCCTGAAGGCCTGCGGTGTGCCCGCTGCCTGGCCCGGGCCGAGCTCTCCCTCCGTCATTTGGGGTTCTCTGTCTACTTCTCAGCTGGGGCTCTGTCCCCTCTCAGCCGGGGCTCTGCCTCTCGATCCCCTCAGCCGAGATTTTTCTCTCTCTCTCCCCTCAGCGGTCTCACTTTGTCCCCTCAGCCGGGGTTTTCTCTCAGTGTCTCTCTCTGTGCCTGTCTCGCTCTCTTCCCTCACGCAAGGTTTTGTGTCTCCCCTCAGGCGGGGCTCAGTGCCACCAGCCGTGGTTCTCTTGCCCCTCATGGGGTTCCTCTCCCCTCCCTGAGGTTCTCCCTCTCCCCTCAGCCGGGGGCTCTGTTTCCCCTCACGGGGTTCCTCTCCCCTCCCTGATGTTCTCCCGCTCCCCTCAGACGGGGCTCTGTGCCGTAGCCAGGGCTCTCTTTCCCCTCATGAGGTTTCTCTCCCCTCAGGTTCTCCGTCTCCCCTCAGACGGAGCTCTGTGCCGTAGCCGGGGCTCTGTTTCCCCTCCCTGAGGTTCTCCCTCTCCTCTCCGGGGTTTCGTGTCTCCCCTCAGCCGGGGCTCTCTTTCCCCTCACAGGGTTCCTCTCCCCTCCCGGGGTTTTNTTGTTTGCTTTGTGTGGCCCAGATGAGCTTTGATCCAAACCTGCTCCACAACAATGGACACAACGGGTACCCCAATGGTACTTCGGCAGCGCTGCGCGAGACCGGGGTCATCGAGAAGCTGCTGACCTCGTACGGCTTCATCCAGTGCTCGGAGCGGCAGGCCCGGCTCTTCTTCCACTGCTCCCAGTACAACGGCAACCTGCAGGAGCTCAAAGTAGGAGGTACCTGAGCTTGGGCACAAAAAACCCCTCTGCTGCTTCTGGGGTCTCGTGGTTTTGGTTTAATTGCAGTTTTTGCTAATTTCGAGATTTTCTCGTTAATGCGCTGGTGAGTGTGGTGAACTTCAAATGATTAAGGTGTTTATTTCTTGCTGAGAGATGGGTAAAGTAGGTTTAAAATTTTAAAAGGGTATAAAGAAAATTTTATTAGAAGAAAAAAAGTAGTAGGAATCAAAACAAACTCTTCAGAGCACTTCTCCCCCCACAATCTTTTTCACTAATAATGTAAAGAAAAAAACTCAGTGAATAATTCACTGTTCCTAGTGGAAGCCCTTCCCAGCCCTTTGTGCAGCTTGTGGAGAAGGAAAGGTGCAGTGTTAGGTCAAACTTGTCCAGCTGAGATGGAGGCAGGCACTCAGACTGAGGGAGAATTCACCTCTTGTGCTCCCTGTTTCTTTGGTTAGTGTGAGGATGGCCAGGTGGTTTTTGGTTTGTTGATTTCAGTTTTTGCTAATTTTGAGATTTCCTCATTAATGCGCTGGTGAGCGTGGTGAACATCGGTGTTCATTAATTATTAAGGTGTTTATTTCTTGCTGAGAGATAGGTAAAGTAGGTTTAAAATTTTAAAAGGGTATAAAGATAATTTTATTAAAAGAAAAGAAGTAGAATCAAAGCAAGCTCTTCAGAGCACTTCTCCCCCCAGACAACCTTTTCTTTTTCACTGATAATGTAAAGAAACCACCTGTGAATAATGCACTGCTCCTGGTGGGAACCCTTCCCACAAGCACTTGGTGCAGCTTGTGGTACAAACTTGTGCAGTGTTAGGTCAAACTTGTCCAGCTGAGATGGAGGCAGGCACTCAGACTGAGGGAGAATTCACCTCTTCTGCTCCCTGTTTCTTTGGTTAGTGTGAGGATGGCCAGGTGATTTTTGGTTTGTTCATTTCAGTTTTTGCTAATTTCGAGATTTCCTCATTAATGCACTAGTGACTGTGGTAAGCTTGTGTTGGTTAATTAGTAAGGTATTTATTTCTTGCTGTTAGATAAGATTAGGAGAAAGGTAAAGTAGATATAAAATTTTAAAAGAATTTAAAGATTTTACTAAAAGTAACTGAAAGAAAAAGAAGTCATAAGAATCAAAACAAACTCTTCAGAGCACTTTTCCTCCCCCACAACCTGTTCTTTTTCACTGCTAATGTAAAGAAAACACCTGTGAATAATTTGTGGCTCCTGCTGGGAGCCCTTTCTGGCACTTGGTGCAGCTTGTGGTACAAACTTGTGCAGTGTTAGGTCAAACTTAGCTGAGATGGAGGCAGGCACTCAGACTGTGGGAGAATTCACCTCTTGTGCTCCCTGTTTGTTTGGTTAGTGTGAGGATGGTGTTTTTCAGCATGAGGAGGCTGTAACCTCTTGCTGATAATCACCATGAGAGTGAAGTTTCTAAGCTGTTTTGTGGCCTTTGTTTGTGTTGTCTGAACTTCAGAGTCTGCTGTACAGGGAGCAAGGCAGGGGGAGGGAATTGCTGTGGAATTACACTGGAATTGTTCACTGGCAACAGGAGATAATAAGCAGAATAACCAGAAAATTTTTGCAAATCATGTGTAACAAAAGGACCTGAGTTCTACTTGATTGTGTTTGGCTACAGCAGTGAATTAAACTCAGCCATTTGGTGATTTTTGTAAAAACCCCAATCCCAGGCAGCACTCTCAGCATTGCCCTGTTTGTGTTGCAGACGATGTTGAGTTTGAAGTGTCTTCTGACCGCCGAACTGGAAAACCCATTGCTATTAAATTGGTGAAGATAAAGCCAGAAATATTACCTGAAGAACGAATAAATGGACAAGTTAGTGCCTGTTTTCTATACCTACATCATTTCCTTTCTTTTCTCCAGTACAGAAAACTGGGTTAATTGAGACTGGGTATTAACTACCATAATTACACTGAAATATATTTCAGTGTGCTCTGTTAAAAATTCAGATTTTCATTTTGAGCTCTTACTTGGCTCCAAACACTTCTTAGAGCCACGAGGGGTTCTGTGAGATTGAAAACTTGCAAATGTGGCATTCCCTGAGTGTGTAGTAAAGGATACTGAGATTAATTTTATGTACAACAATGCCACTCCTGAAATGACTAGCAATGGATTTTTTTTTTTTTTTTTTTGACTGGTAGGTTGTGTGTGCTGTTCCTCACAATTTAGAGAGTAAATCTCCAGCTGCCCCGGGTCAAAGTCCAACAGGGAGTGTTTGCTACGAACGTAATGGGGTAAAGCTTGCGTATTTTACTTGAACTCTTCACTGGTCCATCATTGTGGTCTATGACAAAATAAAACAACAAAAAAAAGCAATTTAATGTAGGTAATTGGCACTGCACTGAACTGTGCAGTTTTTGGCAAAAAAAAAAAAAAAAGCATGCTTTGGTAATTACTACAAAAATTAAAGGTTTTTAGACAGTTTGCTTGCTTGTATCTGTGGAGAACTTCCTAGAGCCAAATAGTTGTTCTCTTTTAAACTTGGTGAAGTTCATGTATCCTTATCTTGAACTTCTAACCTGTAGAAATTGGCCTTTAAAATGGTCATGTACAAAACCTTTCAACTTAAGCTGCTTGTTACATACTCACCAAAACAGCACGACAGAAAAAGAATGTTTTGCATGCCATGTTTACTGTTGTTGATTTTCTCACTAAATTAAGCAGATAATGTTATTTCAATTGTGTTCATCGTTCTTTGAAACAACTACCCTGCAAATAGAATAACTTTAATTAATGTTAATTTACAGGAAGTATTTTACCTGACTTACACCCCAGAGGATGTTGAAGGAAATGTACAGCTGGAAACAGGAGATAAAATAAACTTTATAATTGATACAAATAAACAGTAAGTTGGTATTACTTTTCTGGCTTCATATTTTTAGTAGTCAGGCAGAACTCATACATATTTCAAGAACTATTATATGAAGTACAGTCTTAGTTATTGTTTCAGTTTTGAGTTTACAGATTATTATTTTTTTTATTTTTCTCTAGTACTGGTGCTGTAAGTGCTCGTAACATTATGCTTTTAAAAAAGAAACAAGCTCGCTGTCAAGGAGTAGTCTGTGCCATGAAAGTAAGTGATTTTAAGTTTCATTTGACAATTAAATGCTATTTTGAAGAGTGCTGTTCAAAGTAATATTTAAGTTGTTTAGAGCTGTTAACAGCTTGGGCTGCAGGTGTAAATTGTGTGAAATGGTTTAAACAGCTTATCTTTGATACTGATACTCCTCTTAACAAAGAAAGTTCCATTTATTTCTGTTTATATATTTCTTATTATATTATTATTCTTATATATATATTCTTATATATTATATATATTCTGTTTATATATTTCTTGTGGCAGT